CCCGGCCAACCCCTCCCCCCCTTCCCCCCCCCCCCCCCCAAGGTTTATAAGGTTGTAGTTTTCCGATTTTGAAATGAAAATGTCTGTAACTGCTGTACACGTTCTTTTTAAAAAAGCGATCGAAAGGATCTGCGTGCGATTCTTCAGCTACCGTAATCTCGATGCAGTCCTTGAGAGAGGTGGGGAGAGGAGGCGTGGAGAACTTGGCCTGGCTTAACCATGGCACCCGCTTCAAATCTGACTGCGGTATCCCTCGCCAACTTCCAGGCAAGACAGGGAGCCTCAGATAGCCCGAGTGAAAATAAGAGGGGCGCAGGGTTGGTTTGGCACTCCGGCCGAAGACCCCAGGGGGACCCCTCCTGTGGTGGGGGCTGGGCAAGGGGACCAGAGAGGGGGGGAATCGGCAGCTAAGACTGACAGGGACCAGCTCAGCTCCCGCTACTGTGATGGTTCCCGGAGTGGGAAAAGAGCTCGGGAAAGGAGGGCAGTGGGGGGGGGGGCGGTTTGTCTTGTGCTCGGGCCACACTGGACTCGCTGTTCCCTGCGGGGAGTCCGCTTCCCTGTGCTTTGCGAAGCAGCATTTCCCCTCAGTCTTGTTTTCATATTGCGACTTGCGGGTCGGGGGAAGTGCCGGCACAGGCATGAGCAGAGCACCAGGGGTAGACCTCGTGGGCGCAAACGTGGCTTGCCACAGTCGCCTTGAAAACCATGCAGGCGCATGTCGCCTCTTCGCAGGCTTGCCTCGCAGGAAGCGGCTGGGCACCAGCAGGACGTCCTGTTGGAACGGCCAGTGCCCACAGTCACTCGCCCGCGTGGTTTTGCAGATCCGAGAGCCAGCAAAGGCTGCCGTCGTCCCAACAGTGTGCATTGGTTTTCAGACACAAGGAGATTTGAAGGTGTCTCTCCAGTCTTTTAAACGTGTTAACCGGATAAGAGTCTCTCCGTGAGAAGTGCACCAGTGTCTGAATTACGTGCTTCTGCTCACAAACACGCCTCCCTCCTCCCATAGCCCAAGGAGGAAATTTGCACTGTCTTGTTCCAAATCCTAGTCCTCCCCCCCTCCGCTTCCAAGGAGCTGCATTCTCTGCACTGGAAGCCCTTCGGCTCACCCTTTTCCATCTCTTCTGTTACTGCTGTGTTTGAATACCGTGAACAAACCTCTTTGTGCCAGGCGGGCTTGTTTTTTTGTTTTTTAAAAAAAAAACACAAACAAAATGTACGTAGATGGAGAAAAATGACAGAAACCTTACTAACTCAGCTCTTGCATTCGTGTGCGTGTTTGTACTGTGCGTGCAGCGGTGAAAAAAATTTTAAAGGCCGGTAGTGCCAAGGGAATAAAGAGACCTGGCTGAGGTTTCGAGAGAAGTTAATTAAAGAAATGCAATTTGATGTGGTATTAATAAAAGAGCACAAAGTACAAATTCCATAACTTTGTCTCATGAGGTTTTGTTTTGTTTTTTTCTTTTGCTTGCCAGAAAACCCGGGAGGAGGAGAATCAGGTAGCCGGCCCTTTTGCAAGGTTATTTAAATGTTGTTCGTTCGTTGAGGCGACCCTTGAGGCGGGTTCCAGAGGGCGGCCATGTTGGTGTGCAGGAGGACAGTTAGACCTGTGTCCAGGAGCACCTTAAGAGCCCAACGAGAACCCAAAGGGAGCTTGGATTCTTGAAAGCTCCTACCCTGAAACGCCTGTTGGTCTCTTAAGGTGCCACCGGACCCGAATGGAACTCAGAATGTGGTGGGCCCTTCTCTGTCTACTGTTGCTTATACTGAAGGAGAGCAGTAGGGACACCTTACTGCAAAAAGGATTTGGACACACTGGAGCGGGTGCAGAGGAGGGCGACGAGGATGATCAAGGGCCTGGAGACCAAGAAGCCCTGCGAGGAAAGGCTGAGGGACTCGGGAATGCTCAGTCCGGAGAAGAGAGGGCTAAGGGGGGACAGGATGGCTCTCTTGAAGTGTTTGAAGGGCTGTCACTCAGAGGAGGGCAGGGAGCCGTTCCTGTTGGCAGCAGAGGAGAGGACTCGCAAGAATGGGTTTAAATCAAGGGTGGGAAGGTACTGGCTGGATCTTAGGAAGAACTTTTTTACAGTAAGAATTGTGCAACAGTGGAATAATCAGCTGCCTCGGGAGGTGGTGAGCTCCCCCTCCCTGGCCGTCTTTAAGCAGCGGCTGGACAGACACTTGTCCGGGATGCAGTCTAGGCTGATCCTGCATTGAGTGGGGGGTTGGACTAGATGGCCTGTAGGGTCCCTTCCAACTCTGATTCTATGATTCATACTGTTTTCTACAGGAGTCCCGAATACCTAATACCTAGTTTAAGCCCTCAGATTGGTGGGGACCCTCGTACACTGTCTAATGCAACATCCCCACCCCCCGCAGCAGGCGGGAGATCCACAGCTGGAGCCTCGCAGTCAGATGGCAACCCAGCATCTGCTTCAAGACTCCACCAGCGCAGAACTCATCCCTGCTGACAGCGAGATCACTGGGTCTGTTGTCAAACTGCTCTTGCCATCGGGAAATTTATACGCACACACAACCCACATCTTCCCTCCTGAAGCTTAAGGCCGTTAGCCGTCGTCTTGCCTTCGGTAGCCAAGAATGAGCCTTTTCCTCTTCGCTTTACAACTCACCAAGACCCTGTACGAGTGACTGGTCACCCAGTGTGTTGCATAGCGGAGCTGGGATAGTCCGAAACTCTAATCGTTTACATGACAGTGGCTCGATGCAAAATTGAAACAAACACCTTAAAATATAAATTGGTGGCCAAATTAGACAATGACAGTAAATGGAGTGGACCACAGGAGGGGAAATGCTGAATTCTGTGATGTTAGGGTACAGTTCTACTAGTCATAATGGGAGAGGGGGGTGTTCTCAGACACCCTATGCAAAAGAACACCTTTGAAGTCATTTGGATTAGAGTCTCCTTAAGAGCCAATTTGGTGTAGTGGTTAGGGGCAAAGACCCTAATCTGGGAGAACCAGGTTTGATTCCCTGTCGGGTTAGAATGGATGAAAGGAAGTCCTTTTTCACCCAAAGAATGATTAACACATGGAATTCACTGCCACAGGAAGTGGTGGCAGCTACAAGCATGGACGGCTTCAAGAGGGAATTAGATAAGCACAAGAAAGGGGACCCGCGAAACTCGCTGGGGGGGGGAGCTCCACGCAGAGCAGCCGGAGGAGGAAGCAG